TAATTTAAAAACTGGTCTCTAACAATGCAATTGGTTGGAAACAGTTGTTTCTCAAATTTAACCGATTTAATTTTTTCTTTTCAAGTTACAAAATCGGACACAAAAACGTACTTTGTCTAAATAAGCATGCTTTTCTTTCGATGTGTTCAGATTTCTGACCATCGAATTATGGAAAATAACGGCAATGTATGTTTACTTTACTTCGGGCGTATTTCAACATATATCGAGAACTTTTAGAGAGAATTTAAAATTTTTGCAAGCAATTATAAAATTCGTTTATCCACAGATAATTCCATGTAAAAGATAACATTTTGTAAATATTTATTGGTTTTTATTATTTTATTTAATAATAGTCGAAAAGACTTTGAACTGTAAGGTATACAATTTTTTACATTATTTTCAATAATTCAATTTTAAAAGGCAAAATACAAAATTTGTGAGAAATTGGTCGAATAGTTCCTGAGAAACCAAATTTCAAAAATACAACTTTATCAAATTTGCTTCCTTAAGAACTATTTGACCGATTTCTCTCAAATTTTGTATTTTGATATTTATTAATTTGCATTCTTTTAAATGATGTAAAAATGTTTGCCATACAATTTAAAAAAAATTTAGACAATTATTAAATAAAATAATAAAAAATAATAAATATTTAAGAAATATGTTGTATGAAATATATGTTGTATTATATGTTGTATGAAATTATCTTTGTATAAACGAATTTAATAAATGTGTACAAAAAATTTTCAATTCACTTAAAAAGTTCTCGTGAAATACGCGAAAAATAAAATTAACATTACGGGGTCAAACTTTGGATCGCTCTCCTGACCAAATTATCGGGGCCATATTTCCCAGATTGCTGCTACCCCCTATATTTTGGGGTCAGAAATCCAATTCCATAAAAAAAAGGTATGTTTATTTAGAGGAAGTAAGTTTTGCATTTAATTTATCTAAAAATATCATCTGCACCAATTAATTCGCATATTTGTAATCACCCCCTCCTACCCTTTAAATCCCAGAACGTGAAGATCCGATCATCGGTTTTTTATTGTGTACTTTAAAGATCAAATTAATCATTTGTTCAAATGAAATAGAAGTATAAAAAAATGTTGCTGTTTCTTTTAAGTATGAATATTTTTAAAATAAGGAGATGAACAACAATGAGCATTAGAAGTTAAGATAAAAATGTCAATTTGATTAAAAGTTGTCATTATCAAGACCACAATTATATAAATGCTTTATTTTGACCAAAAGTTAGGTAAATTTATTTATCAGTATATGATAAACAGCATATAATCAATGCCACAAATAGGCATCTTAATGGCCAAAAAGAAAATTAGTTCTAATACGAAAAGACAAAATTGTTTTAGTGCAGGATATTTCTTTAAAAAAAATAGAGAAGAACAGTTAAAATAATTTGTAATTTACAAAACTAAATCTTAAAAGTCTACTTTCAGGGGCATTTTTTTAGACATAATCAAAACTAATAAACTAATATTTCATTCCAAAAATTCAAAAACATTTTTGTTATTTTAGAATAATCTTTTTCCATAAAGAAATTCTTATTATATTTTTTTAATTAAAGAACTGAATAACTCACTTTATGTCCCCAAACTTAATTTAACTTATTTGATAAGCCTTTAAACAGTCTGAAAAATAAATATGAAGAAAAATTAAACTAATATATANTTCTAGAGAGGCATTATTTAAAGAACGCTGTAGCGGATAAATTAAGGAGATTTTCTGTCAAGAAGATCCATGCAGAAGAATCAAGAGTCTGTGTATAGTTTGTCTAAAGTAAGAAGTCCCCAATCATTCGTCTGGATCCATGGCGGTGACTATAGTTACGAGGTTCAATTATGTCAAGTAGGGTCACTGTTTAGGACAAGTTTAGGCTCAGGTCGGCGAGAGAAGGGGAATATTTCTCTCTGATCTGTTGTGTTACTTGTTTAGAGTGTTCGATACCTTTTTTTTTCTTACCTTTTTTAAAAGTTTCTAATTTGAAAAAGTTTTTCAAAAATAATTTTTTTAGTAAGCTCTTTTTTCTATTTTTCAACCATTAACTTTTTCTCTTTAACTTTCTTTTCTATAATATCAACTGTCTTCTATCTTGAGCAAAACTTTTTATACATTTTAAAATAATAAATATAAGTTAATAAGTTTAAGCATTTTCACTTTTACCGGATCAATATTTTCTTCTTCTTTGTATTTAAAAAATAGCAACCGATTGGGTACAGAGCATAATTCTAAGTCAAGAAAGAAGTATTCGTGCGAATCTTAAAAAAGCTCTTGAATCAGATTAAATAAGTCTCCTACTGGCAGCTGAGTCAGTCAATCTGGTAAACTTCTTTTATTATCTACCATTGAAACTCCCCTCCCTGAAATGCGCTCTTCCTGTTTCCATGCTGCAGATGACCTTAGACTTTGTAGCGAGAGGAGTTCTTACTATAGACAAACTATAACCTTCTTTATATTATCTTCAGTCAAATATTGTACATATTTAAGGTAGACACTATTTAATTTTTGATAACTGAGAAATACAAAATTGGATGACACCTGAGCATACGGTTTAATAATAATTCTATTTTTGTTCAACAAAAAAGCCCATCATAAAGACAAATGAACAGCGAGTAATAAACACAAAATATCTCATTGAAACTCAAAAAAAGTAATTACAAGTTTTTGTGAGAAGTAATTTTGTTGATTTCAATAATTAGTAAACAAAAGGCGCATTCTTTTAACGGGATTTCCAAAAACAACAGAAAGAATTTCTTTTTAGGAAGATAACTGATAGTTACTGACACGTGTTTGCTTCATAAATATTAGGGTTTAAAGCAAACAGAGAAATGATGCTCGTTTTTCATTTCTGTATACTAGAAATAAATAAAATGATTTTTATTTATTTATTTTTAATTTGTGCAATATTGCTCACTTAACCGTCGGAAAATTGTCGCAAAAAATGTTGCAAAAATTGTTCAAAATTTTGTAGCAAGGAAGGATAGTAATTATAGCTTTTTAAAACATAAAGTTTTTTTACAGTTAATATTAGCATTTTGGAGAACTTTCGTAATAGCGAACTTCTTATATTATGTTGTACTTGTTACATCGAGCTTTTACTGTATGATTGAGGAGTCATGATAGAGCTCTGTAACGGATCAGGAATAATAGAAAAAAGAGCTAAAAAATCAGGACAACTACGACCCCTGAACATTTTTTAGAACATTAGTTCTTAAAATTATCATATAAAGAATATTTGAACAATGTTCTAAATCTAGTTTCAATACTGCCTTAAATGTCTTTTCTTCTTTTCTTTCAAGGTAGAAAACTCATGGCAAAAAAAACATGTTTCTTTTTACGAAACAGTAAAAACTCTATGATAAATATATTTTTTATAGATAGTTAAAACCGTGGGAAAAACAAATTTTTCCTCAAACGGTAAAAACCATGGTAAAAACATAACATGGCAAATACCGTAGCAACCCTGCTCATACTCCATGAAAGGGAAAAAATAGAATTTTTGAAGCTCCTTCAATTTTGAACTTATCTACATAGTTTTTAAATTAAAATACTGGGATCACACTCAATTAACACTTGACTGTCTCACACGTTTACAGTGAAATCTCATTCAGGCCACGAGTACCGTTATACTTAGCATATTCTACTAAGTACTCCCATCGATATTTTAATAATGCGAGTCTCTGGTGCTCTTAGAATAATATTTCTCTTCGTTTGTTTCCATGGTATCATGTCTGTTTATTTGTGTCTGTTGCTTCGCATCTGTTTCTCATCTCGCCACTTTACACGATCAGTTTGAATCTTTGCCGAGAAAAGAGGAGTATAACTTAAAATTCTTACCCTAATTAGATGAAATTTCGAAAAGAAAAATGGAAAACTTATTTCTTAGCGAGTCAAATAGCACTGAACAAGAAAGCTTTTACGAAGCTCGCAATAATTTTCTTAATATATCTTTCTTGCATTACTTTTATAACAATTCAATAGTTTTGCTACTTCCTGGGAAATATCATTTCAAATACATACGAATATCCTTCGCTAGTAGTCAAATAAGCATCGCTGGAGACGCTGCCCGATCAGAAACTTTGCTGTTACCCGAATATGGGTGACGCGGCAGTCAACGTGTTAAAAGAAAAAAGAAACTTTATTTTAACTTAGATATTATCAAAATTTTCGCAAATTCAGAGAGTAGTTCTAAGAAAGGACATAAAAAAGCAATATAAGCCTGAAAGTGTGTAAAAAATTGAAAACCAAAAGTGAAATGATTTCAGAACCTCTTAATAAATAAGAAAAAATTGATAAGCTATTAGATGCAAATTTATGAGCTTAAGTTTTTAAAAATCACTACTAACCCTGCATAATTTGTTAATTGATTGTACAATTTCCGTACATAACCTTATATTCGATCAAAAAAATATCAAGGTAGCAAGAAACTAGGGCATTTCTTATCTTTCAATATTTAGAATGTCTCAGAGTAAATCTGGGATTTAAATAGGCAATGCCTTATCTTTACAACATTTTTCTCATAAATTTTTATGAATGTCACAATTCATCAAATAATCTTTCTTTGTAAAACATTTCCACCTGGGGCAAAAGGAAAGGTACTTCCGACATTAGATTTTAAACAAAATATTTCAGCTATTTTATTTTTAGATGGAAATTTTAGCATTGATCTGAAACCCCTGACTTACTTTGTTAAAAAAATGCAACATTTCAATATAATAATTAGAGTTAGTATTAAGTGCCATATCAAGATTTTTCGCAGAATTAAATAAATATACCCTTGAAAAATACCTCTTTTATAAACTCATGTAAGAAATCCCAAATTATTATACAGTTTGAGAAGAAATAACTTAGTTTAAAACAACAACAAAATTTCACAGCTAATTTTTTGCGTTCATTATTGATCAAGAACTTTTTCAAACATGTGTATGAAAGTCGGCAGCACTCTGAGCTAGAAACAATGACATATTTTCTTAATTTTTTAGAGATTCAGAATTGAACATCATGGAGGCAAGAGTTTATTCTAAACATCATAAGGCATCTCTAAAGAAATGTTGGTGTAAGAAATGGGAGAAAGTATCAGAAGGTAGGTGGTGAAATTTTAGGCATTTTTATAGCATTAAAATCAAAGTGTATTTCAGTTATTTTCTATGACGTATAAATGCATGACATTGTATTTTCTAAAAAAGTTATTAAAAGCATTTTAATCTATAAATCATTAAAAAGGTCACTTCATGAGCTTCAATTAAAAACCACGGTATTCACTTTTTTTTTTTATTCATGATTAAGTTTAGACGCTTAAAAACAGTTTTTATTTTAGTCGCATTAGAAATGTTCTTTATGGCAATCTCTTACATTTCTAATTTTTCTTCCGCCGCTTTTTTTTAAAAAAAAGTTCAACAAACTCCTGAATTTTAGCACATATTTTCTTTTCATCATTTAAATTAATTTAAGGAGGCCCAAAAAAGATGATTTCTCGTGTGTTTTTCCCAATATCCTTGTTTTAAACGTAGAAAATATGTATATTTTTTTAAAAATTACTATTGACAATTTTAAAAGAGCCTTTTAGTTCAGATAAAAACATATAGTCAATTTTTGGAAATGACGCTTTTTTACAATGCTGATATATTATGAAATGACCCCTTTTAAAAGAAAGTAGATACTTACTAATACTGACCTGCTATGAGAAGTCATCAAAACACTGTTATGGAATCGATGATTCAACGCTCTTCATGTTGCTTGACACTATCACAATTTTTGTAGAATTATAGACACACAAAAATGTGACAGTGCCAAATAACAGAAGAGGAGTTCGTTGGATATTTGAACAACTTCTTTGACTATCTTTCCACGAAGAAGCCGCCTCTTGTTATCTTTAGCACCAAAGAATCCACGATTTGATATCCATCTGTGAATTCTTACAGTGCCAAGGATAAAAGAAACACAATTTGCTGTTGGCCCTCTGGAACTACACAAATTCCTAAAAGAAAAATTTCACTTTCTTACAACATTGCAAAAGAAAAATAAATAAATCAATAAAAGTGTCTAAAAAAGAGTCCATAACACAAAAATAAAGAAAACAAATGAACAATTTAAAGAAAACGTTCAAATTGGCTTATTGTACTTAATTAAAAAAATTTATCAGATTCCTTGTAGACGAAACTAAGAAATAAAACTTATTGAATATAAAATAGCTTTAAAGAATTTTAAACATGCTGCCAAAACAAAATGGAAAATAAATCCAGTATAATTTATAATTCAATAAAAGTTTTATGAAAACTATTGCTATAAAATATTCCAGACATAGAAAATTTAAGGAATCAATAAAAGGAAATAAAGTAAAAACTAAATTACTATATCTGCATTGACTAACTAAATGGATATAATTATTTTATATATCTTGAATAGATCAATTTATTTTTGATAGTTAAGTTAAAAAATTTCGTGAAGGCAGAATAAATAGATAAATAAAACGAATTTCTATCGATATTTTCTTTTAAAATTTTATTGTCGATTCGAAAGTCATTTCTTTATTTTGCGGTATTACTTTTTATATTCTTGAGCAACTAATAAGATAAGCAAAAAATCGATTTTGATAAATATTTTCTTGAAGGAACACTTAAGTATTTCTATAAAGTGTGCAACAGCCAGGAAAGTGTTTGATGAAACCATAAAATCCATGATAGGCTGTTTGTCTTCTTCTAGAACAAATTAATAGCTGAAAAATTTAGTGCAATGAATTATGAATTAAAAATTTTCTATAAAAATAATAATTTATAATTTTATTTAAAAAATTTCTATAAAAGTTAATATAAACTTTATTGAGTAATTACTAGTAATAAATAAAATTAATTAAATCTATAAAGAAATATTAGTTATACAAACATCATTTTAAAAAGTCTGAAAATAAATTTCATTAAACATATATAACATCTCTTGTTGTGAGAAAAATAAATTAAGTATGTAAAGAACAATAAAACGAAAAGAAAAAAAAACACTTAAAAAAATCTAAGATTCACTTATAAGTGCTTTATCAGACATAGCATTTACCTGTTGTAGAGAAAATGGATCAAAGGTATAGAGAAATATTAGTCATAAAAATAAATTTAAAAAAAGCTTTAAAGCTGTAAAATAAATATGATTTAGATTAGATATCTTTTGTTGTAATAATAACATTGAGTATGTTATAGAAAATTAAAAAGCACACTTAAAATATTATTTTCCAGAGATAAGTTACTTGTTGCAAGAAAGTTAATACATTAAGTAATATTAGTTATAAAAAAATAATTTTAAAAAAAAGTATTAAAAAGTTCTAAAATAAAGTTTATTATATATAAAATTATGTTGTTGGGGAAAGAATAAATTGAAGGTGTTATGTAAAATAATAATGATGATAAACAGTTTTAAAAAGTTCTATCAAGGAATATTACCGAAACGTCACTCACTAATTAGACCGAACTTTTTTTACTGCTGTTTTTTTATGTTTACATTCCATGCAAAATTTATTTGTCTGTTTCAAAGTAATAATTTAGTTATAAAGTCTTAAAACAGATCTTTAGTTATAAATTCTTTCCGATTTTTACTTTGCAGATGAATAGCAATGTTGGCAATAAAAGGTTTACTTTAATTTAAGACTTTCCTTCTTAATACGAAATTTAAATATTTGCGTTTTAAAAAGCTGAAATTTAAAGACTAAAATTTAGACTAACTATTAGTGACAAAATAAACTACTATGCCAAGAAGATAAATTTTTCTCCGAAAATTAAAAGCCCAAAACAAATTTCTCTCTTCTTGTAGAGAGAATAAATTAAAGAAGATATATAAACTAAAAAAATATAATATTTAAAAAATGTATTAATCAAAAATAAAAAGCAAGCAGAAACAATAAAAATTCCAAAAATATACTTTATCAGATATGGGATTTACAGGTTCTATAGAAGGAATAATATATTAATTTCATGAATATAATTAAGGAGAAAAACTATAAAAACGTGACGAAAGACTTCAAAATAATAATCTAAAATGCAATTTAATGAATTATTCGAGAAATCTAAGATGATATTCGCAACTTAATTAGTTTTAAAAGAATTCAAAGACGTCCTTTTTACTGACGTTATGATTAAAAACATATTAGTGCTCATTTCAGGTCAGTTTCAGGGCATATATATATATATATAAATATTTATATATAAATATTTATATATAAATATTTATATATAAATATATATATATAAATTAAATTAGTTAGTTGGGACATCTGCAAAAACATCTGAAACTAATGGACGGTAAAGAATGCCGTAGTTCTTAATTTGTTCAGTCAAAGATCCTTCTGTAGAATATTTTAAATATAAAGATATTAATGAAAGTAATAACCAATAAAATACCTTTTATTTTATAACAGAAATTAATTTGTTTTTAGTGTAGAAGCTAAAAAAGAAATGTTATAAAATATATTAGGAAAAAATAATTTTTGCGAATTTAATTGCTGTGAATTTAATTAGTGTGTGTCTATACTAGTGTGTAAGTACTGTTTTGTGTGTTAATACTGTAGTGAGTTAATACTACTTTTATAAATTCTAATTTTTTTCAATATTTTGCAGTTAAAAATATATATATATATACTTAAGAAAAGAAAGTTACCATTTCTTTTTAATTGGTCTTTTACTTTAAATAATTTCATATATGCAACTGAAATAGGAAACTAATCATAATTGATTCGATGTAAATATAAAAAATTCTAAATCAAAACTGATTAATAAAATCAAAAACAAAAGTTTTCAATCAAAACTAGTCTTCTTCCACTGGTTTCACTGACCTACCGTATTTACAATAATCAATAACGTCACTACGCAATTTAAGAAAGTCTTTAAACAGCTAATATATTCATGAGCACGAAAAAATAGGAAGCATCATCAATACTACTTCTAAACAAATTTCCGCGACATTAAACAAGAATTCTCTTCATTCATAATCTTAAATCAATTTTCAGAACTAACTTATATGATAATGAGCAAAATCTACAACCAAACCGGTTTTTTGAAACCTGACGGTACTTGAATATCAAAGAAAAGTTAGTGGCAAATTTAAAGCTATTGTCCAGAAAAGGTAATGCTGTCACGTCTTCCTGTCATTGTTTCAAACATGGATTTGAAAGAGTATTGTACAAATGTATTTCAACCAAAAACCATAAAGCTATTGTCTTAAAGAAACAAAGAGTTGAGATGTACTGCGTAAAAAATAAGCTTCTTTTCACCTTCTTTGAACTATTAAGAGGACGCTATATTACGGGATAAAACATCGTCTTCCATATGTATAGAAGAAGTGAGATCCTAGAGTAAAAAATAAGCTTCTTTTCACCTTCTTTAAACTATAAAGAGTACGCTATATTACGGGATAAAACATCGTCTTCTATATGTATAGAAGAAGTGAGATCCTAGAAGGAAAAAAAAGCTTCTTTTCACCTTCTTTGAACTATTAAGAGGACGCTATAATACGGGATAAAACATCGTCTTCCATATGTATAGAAGAAGTGAGATCCTAGAAGGAAAAAAAAGCTTCTTTTCACTTTCCTTGAACTATTAAGAGGACGCTATAATACGGGATAAAACATCGTCTTCCATATGTATAGAAGAAGTGGGATCCTAGAGTAAGTTTCTAATACTGAAGGGGGAAAAAAACTATCAAATTGAAAACAAATTATGAGAGGATCACTTAGGATTATGCAATGGGAAAGTTCAGGAATTTGTTTGCATTTTTTTTTTCAGCAATAGAAACTTTCTGGCTTACTCTAGGTTTGCCTTAACTCACTTTAAACTTTCCGTCCTCTTAAGAAAAAGTATGTAAAAGGTCTCAATCGGCACTCATAAGCAAGTTCAGCTCAGTGTTGCTGCTTCAAATACAGGCCATGATTCAAAATATGAAGGTAAAATTTTGGGATGAAGGGTAAAAATAATAACTCTATAAACATTAATTCTGTAAATAATTATATATTTCAAAAAAAATAATGGTTCTATAAACTATATTAAGAAAATATTTGAAAAATAAAAATCATACGTTTTGTTAAAACCAT